CGCTGGGAGAGCAGCTGTGGAGCAGGTCGTGGGGAAAGAGCCTTGGCCACCCAGGGAGCCCGAGGCCCAGGGGGAGGCCCGTGCTGGACCCGGCTCTGCGGAGCACTCGTCCTGTGGCCCCGCCAGGCAGGGGCCCAGCCAGGGGACGCTCTGGAGACCAGCTACTGCTCCGAGCTGCCCGTGTGGCACACGCCCTAGGCCTGTCTGCAGAGGGCCCTGCCACCTGCCACCCCAGCTGCAGCCCTGCCACCCCCCTGCTGCCGAGCTGCCACCCGCCACCCCAGCTGCCGCGCTGCCTCAGCCCCACTCCCGCCTCCCAGCGGAGGGCAGCCGGGGGCGGTTTCCCTTGCGGCTGTGGCACACACCCACAGACTGTCACTGGACTTGACCCCAGTGGGATTTGGCCCTGGGTCCGACTCACTCCACAGCCCATCTCTCCTCTCTCACGGCCAGCCAGTGCCACGTTGCACCCGGGGCCACGGACATTTACTGGGCTGTCACCCCACACGGACGGCTCCTCTCGCTCTCTGGGGCACTGGAGCCCCTACGCCAGAGGCCAAGAGGAACCCGGAGCATCCCGACTACAGCCTTGTATGGGGGGATCAGGCAGTGGACCCGTCTCTGCCTCTTGGAAGCCACACTGACATGCACACGCACACACACGCACACATGCCACTAGCTCAGAAGGTCAGACTTCAGAACAAATCTTTATTTTAGTATATTTTGGTAGCAAACAAGCAAATGTTTAGGGACACCCAGCTCTGGGGCAAAGCTGGAGGGCAAGAGCCCACTGTGAGTACCCGCTAAGCCACAGTTTCTGCACCTATGAAATGTACCCATAGATGGGGAAGCTGAGGCACACAAGGGTTCAAGTGACTTCCACAAGCTTTCACAGCAGTGCTGCCCTTTCCCATGGGCCTATGTCTGCCCACATCTGCCCTTTGCCGTCTGCCAGGACAGTGCTGCTGCCCCAGGTCCCTCTGCCCCAGGCCTCCCCCAGCACCTGAACCCCAAGCCCGGCGGCTCCTGCCCTTCTTCTGGCAGGAAACCAGCAACAAAAAGGCCAAAGGCCACAGGACAAGGACTACAGGGTCCAGACTGGTAACAAGTCTCGAGAGTCCCACGGCCCTGCAAGGACAGTGCCTGGAGCAGCGCCTCAGTGAGCAGCCAGGCAGCGCGGGCCGGCGAGCTTCTCGCTGGCCAGCCAGGTCCGAGGAGCCGCCGGGCTCCAGGCCCCCTGCCTGGCCACCACACCACACCCACAGGTGGCTCGAAGAGAAGGGACCTGACACAAGCTGGAGCCTCCAGCAGCCCCAGGGACCTAACAGCACCGGGAGGAAGGGCCTGGCGCTGTGCCGGGACGGCCACGACCCCAGGCGTGGAGCTCGCTTCCGTCCCAGCCGTGAGGGGCCGCAGCCACGTCGGGAAGAAGGACGCTCTTCCTGGACCTGGTGAGAGGCCCATCCCGCAGGCACCGGCCAAGGTGAGAGGAGCTGCGGATCCCAACTCTGGAAGGGTCAAGACCTCAGCAGGTGTCTGAGCTAGGCCCAGGGGCCCAAACCAAGGCCTGCACCAGGGCGCGCTGACACCGACCAGAATCAGGCCCGTGGCTGGGACCAGGCTCAGCAACAGGGCCGCGCTTTCCTGGCAGTGCGGCCGCGGACCCCGGGGAGAGCGTCACCTGCAGCTTGTTGGATGCAGATGCCTTGACGATGCCTCCAGTGGGGTGCTGCTGTGCACCGCAGTTTGAGAACCACAGTGGGCAGAGGGCCGTGCTGGTTTCTGCCCAGAAGTGGCTGGAGCTAAAGGCCCCTGCAGAGCCAGCCCCCTTTCCCGCTGATTGTCACCATGGTGCCAGGTGTTGGCACCTCTGTGGGCTGCCAGGGATCTGGAGCAACAGGCCTCCGGGGCCTGGGCAGGACCCAGGGCAGGGAGGAGCACAGGGCGTGGGGCCAAAGGGCTCCTCCAGCTCCCTCCACCCGCCGATGGACGGCCGAGCCCCACCACCTGTGAGCTCCCGGGACGCTCGGGCGATTCAGAGGCCGCAGCAGCCTCCACCCGGCTTCCTGCCGATCGGGGCATGGGCCTCACACGATTACACCAGGCCAGGGGGGTCTGATGGAGTTTGTCCCCGAGCTGTGGCAGAGCACGCTGGTTACACGTGGCTCCAGAGTGTGGCCTCCTCTCTAGATCTCCCGGCACGAGTGACTTTCTTCAGTGACAGGGAAGAGCAGGGCACAGAGCATGGGATGACCAGGCCGCCTCCCTCACTCCATCCATATGTCCCTTGTTGTCTCCGTGCACCCCGGGGAGCGGTGGGTGTGCAGGCACCGCAGGGGGGGCGGGCAGAGCCGCGGGAAGCCCGGGGCGCTGACCCCTGCGAGAGAGAGCGGAACGAGCCCTCGGGTCTCCACAGGCCTGCTCGGCCAGTCGGGGAGTGCTGAGATGCTTGAAAATTGTAAATTTCTGCGTAATTGACCAGAAGGGCGACTCCGTGGCGTGGCCGTGGATACACACCTGCCTTTCCACAGCTGCCTCGCTCAGCAGGCAGAGAGCACGTGCGTCTCCGCCGAAACGGAGACCAAGAGCCACTCAGGTCACCGCTGCCTCCCCCGGCCCCAGAACGCAAGGCCCCAGATGGCACCCAGCGTCTGTCCTTGGCAAGTGGACTCGCTGCACAAAGACAGGGAGCCCGACAGCCCAGTACAAACGGCTGCGCGCGGGCGTGCCGCCTCCACCTGGGGCGCGCCCGGCTGCCGGGCCCTCGGTGGGCCGTTTGTCGCAGAAGCTGCTCTTCAGCTACCCCTGTCCCAGTGGCGTCCGGGCCACTGAAGGGAGGTGCAGTGGGGATCTGTGTAGTGACTGAATCAACCGGTGATGTGGCGAGCTTCGCCCACAGTGCGTGCGCTGGCCCAGGTTTTGCTGATTCCCGCACACACGTTGACGATACTGACTCCTAAAGCACCACAGGCATCTCGGGGGCCGGGAGACCCTTCTTGCCCTGTCCTGGTTTCCTCCCAGACAGCGGGTCTAGACCCGGGAAGCTTCGGCACACTGGGATGCTTTGGGACATGTGATGCGGGTCTCGCTCCCTGGATGCAAGTGACCTCTCATCGTGAGGTGGAATCAGCTGCTCCACCTGCTCTCATCTCTCAGGACCAGACGTGTCACCGAATTTAGGAATTTTCAGGTGTTAGAAAGGTAACAAGATGCATGTGCATATGCTATGCAATAGCATGAGGGTGGTTAAATGTGGAACCCTATAGTCAAATGCCTTAATTTCCTTAGCTCAGCCCTCTCGGTACTAAAAGGTCAAAGGCAAGGTCGAGATGGCATCATCCTGTCTCACCTCTGCCCATCCGGTGGGCAGCCTGAGGAGTGGGCTCTGGGATCAGAACAGCAGCGTTGTCACTGGCCAGGCCCCTGCCCCGCCTGTCCCTTTCTGTGGCGTTCTACCCAAATAACTTCCGTGTGCTCTGGCTTGTAGACTGGGAATTCGCCTGGAGAACAGGTTTCCACCCCATGCCTCTTCTGCCCAGAGTCTTCTAGGAGCACACAGGTCATTGGCCGGTGGGCAGGGTATGCGAATGTCGGGTTGAGGGCAGCATGGTGAGAACCGTGGACCCAAAGGAGGTGTCGAGGCAGCAGGGCCAGGAGGTACCTCCAGAGCAGGGGGAGGGGCAGCCAAGAGGGAAAGGATGCTCTTCTCAGACCCTCAGTTTCCTGAGTCCTCACCTGTGGCACTAGTTCCCCTTTCTCCTGACACGTCTCAGGCCTCCACAGGACCTAGTTCCAGATTCTTCTCTCTCATGCCCCTTGACCTCAGGGCAGCCTCTGGCGCGCAGACCTGAGCCTTGGCACGCAGTTCTCGGGCTCACCTGCTGCTCTCCCACTCTCTGGCCCTCTACTCCCCAGCCCACCGCAGGCGGCCCCTGGCTGCTTGTGTCTCTGGCCTCTGCTGCTCTCTGAGCCTAAGCTCTCACGGAAGTCCCCGCTTCTCAGGGGCGAGAGCATCTCCTCCACACCTGCAGGGTACAGATCAACCAGGCCCAGCGCAAAATGAAAACGTGGTGCCCTGGCCCAGAAGTGACTGCGAATTTCAAAACAGAGCACTGAAGCAAGAGTGGGACTGCCGAGCGTGGGGCCCTGAATTCAAGGTGTTCGCACGTGAAGCCGGCTCTGCCAGACACTGGCCCAGCCTCACTTCCACCTCCACGCTGGGGTTCTGCTCGGCGATTGGATGTCTTCATCCTTGTGACAAGGATGAAGAAATCAGGAAGCAAAGTGGATTGTTCGCTCCCAGCGAGGTCCACTGCCATCTCCCGTGGCTCTCACGGGGGCTCCCGGTGATCTGAATCCTGCTCATCCTCTTCGATTCTCTGTTCCCTGCACTCTTCCTCCCTCTCTGCCTCGCCCTTCGTGGAACTCCCCCGACAGCAGTGCCATGGAGACACATCGCCGTCTCTGATCCATCACCTGGCGCTAATTTA